TCATAAAATTCATAATCTCATAACAGAAAATTCATAATTTGATCAAACGCGCGCCGTTAACTCCACATCCGCGAAATTTTTTTTTTGGCCTAAAAAGGACATCGTTTTGCCTTGTGTTCACCATTCTCGGTGAACACGATTCCATGACATAATTTGCGACGAAAACGTATTTGGGCCAACGAATGCATGTTAAAACTGAAATAATGGGTGTGTTTTCTAAAACAATGTCTTGTTTGGTAGATAACTTTTTCGCATAATTTTTAACTGTGATTAACTTTAGCTTTTGGTCATATAGCTAATATACATGTTTGGTAAATAGTTTTTGAAATAACCTTATTGGACCCAAAAAGCTGATTTATAAAAAATAAAATAGAAATAAAAAAATAAAAATAAAAATAAAAAAAACTTAGAACATCTTTCTAATTTTACTTTTTGAAAAAAAAAAAATTATATCAACTTTCATTAACAGTTAAACACCCCCTTCCTTTCTCAAATAGTCAAATTGTAGGATCCCCTCACCTTTTTTTTTTTTTAATTATATTTTACTCACATATTTTTATTTTATTTATTTTAAATTTTAATGTGTCTGTTTATGAAAATACAAAAAAAAAAAAAAAAAAAACCGAATATTTTTAATTAAATATTCAGCAATTTTTATTTTTATTAAATATAAAGAATAATTATTAAAATAATTTTTTATATTTTATGTGTATGCGTGACAAAGGCCTTTCATGTCTGCGTAAAAGTGAAGGTACTATAAACGAGACGAAATGGGCTTTCGATTCTATTTGTTGTTTTCTTGTGGATTTTGTTCACATGATAGTTGGTAGTTTGGTACACAATCAGCATCTTTGAGCTGGCAAATTATACTAAGGATAAGGCAATCGTTATACCATGGACCATGGTTCACATTGCACTATAGAGCCGGGTTCATGTAATTATGTTTTGTGTTATGACATTTTATATTTTACGTTATGAAATTATGTATCTTATGAGTATGAATTTTGTACCTAAAATTTTTTAGTAATTGTGTCTTATGTTACTAATTTCAGTGTCTTGTGTTATGAAATTTCGTGCTTATAAACATAAATTATGTACCTAAATCAGATTTGAAAAATAAGTAAATATATAACATGTGTATGTGTCTTGTGTTATGATTTTTTGTGTCATGTGTTATGAAATTCTATATCTTACAAGTATGAATTATGTACCTCGTCTTTTCAATCCAGATGGGTCCATAATGCTATGCTATTTGTCTTGTGTTATGATTTTTTACATTTTGTGTTATGAAATTATGTACCTTACGAGTATGAAGTACCTCACTGTTTCAATCCATGATCCATAATGCTATATGGACCCTAGTTCATGATATAAATTGACAGGACCAGGGTCTATCTTGTATTGTGGATCTGTTTCAAAATAGCCTTTAGATTATTTACGCAATTGACATATTTTGTAACTAAAATTACAGTTTATGCGCCTAATAAATAAATTGAAGGCACATAACATGTTAACCACAGACACATAAAATAGTAACTACAGACACATAAATTGTTAACTGCAGATACAAAATATGTCACACACACACACACACACACACACACACACACACACATATATATATATATATATATATATATATATATATACATATATATATATATATATATATATATATATATATATATATATATATATATATGTATGTGTGTGTGTGTGTGTGTGTGTGTATATATATATTGTACTTACATATTTTGTATTTGCAGTTAACATATTTTGTACTTACAGTTAATTATTTATGTGTCTGTAGTTAACATGTTATATGCCTTTAATTTATTTAAATGCACAAACGGTTAATTGCAAGTACATAATAGAGTTAATCACCGTTTTGGTCACTCAATTATTTCTCAACTGTCAATGTAATCCCTAGTTTTCATTTTCAACCAATTTGATTCTCGAATTGTTTCAAATTTCGTCAAATTAAACCTTTTCAGGAACCAAAATGGTAATTTTCACATTTTTAAAATTTCGTCAATTTGGTCCCTAAGAGGGTTTAATTGACGAAATTTAAAACAATTCGATGATCAAATTGATTGAAATTGAAAACTATGAACTACATTGACAGTTGGGTAACAATTTAGGGGCCAAAATAATTATTTCCCCTACATAATGTATCAACATAGTTTTTTTTTTTTTTAAGGTCCATAATACAAGATGGACCTCTGTCCATAGTATAACAATTGGGCAATTTATATCGTGGACCAGGATCCACAGTGCACTGTAGACTCTGGCCCACAATATAACGATTGTAACAATTGCTTCGAACTTACCTCTGATCTTTTTGTCAACAGTTATGTTGTGCAACCGTGTGCACCATGCATGGTGCACACGGTTGCAAAACAACGTCATTTTGACTAAAAACGCGCGTCCCATTTAAAAAAAAATCAATTTCGATTCCCCTCAACAACATGATGCACACGGTTGCACAGCATAATTTGCGTCTTTTTGTCGACAAAATTTTATTTATTAATTAATTAATTTTAAAGACTTATAAGCTTAATTTATTAATAAATGAAGGAAATTATCTACAACTTTAGAATCCGCCAAAAACAAAATCCCCTCCCATCCCTTATGTGGATAGAGTGGCCCTCAAAGATGGAGCCAGTGACAAAGATAAGAGTTAGATCGAGTACTCAAAAATTTTATTAATAATGTGTGTGTGTGTGTATTTAGAAAAAAAAAAGTCAATATATAAATACAAAAATATCATTATCTAAGTAGAAATCATAATTGTGTAAAATTACAATTTACAAGATTACAAAAGCATATATTTTCTTAGATGGTGACATTCTGTGTAGTATTTTATTTTTAATTTTTATGATTTTATTCGTATATTATTAAATTTTTGTTAAGAGAATATTTATATTTATATTTGTATTAACACTGTATTGGCGATGCATGTAAATGATTATTCAATGCATGTGTCCCATATCAAGATGAATGATAACACTTCCTATAGAGAATTTCAGCCAAGATACTCTGATTATAGTGATTTTTTATATTTGGTTCTTGTCTTTTAATTTAAACAAATATGACACTTTGACTATCAAAATGTTTTCACCATTAGTCTTTCTATCACCTTGCTGTTATTTAAACGTTAAGTTCACGAATAAAATTATCATTTGAGTCTTCTTCTTCTTAGAGTAAAAAATAATGTCTAGATTTTTCAGCATGAACAAAGGGTGCACCACCACCGTTTCGGATTGTCAGTGAATTTCACAACTAGAATATCATTCCTCCCCTCAATTCATTCATGTTACAAATTGATCTTATTCCCATATTTGAGATTCCAAATCCTCGATGCATTTAACTTTCCAATCGGCCAATTTTTCTTTCAAAAAAGAGCTGAAACAACTGAAAAGAGGAAAAGGAAACACAATTTTATACTACATTTTACAGATTAGGTATCTTGAACACACATTCTAGTATTCTCTCAATAATTTCAGACGACCGGAAGTAAAACGTTGTGGGAATAGACATTCTTTACCGTCTCAAAGATAAGAAAATCACAGAGACTCCATTCATGGGCCATTGCAATTGTTCTGAGTGGTTCAAATTGATTAAGAATATCATACGCAACTCACACACAAAGATAAACTTAAAATATAATGATTACTAAGTAAACTGATCCACCAACCTGGGTAGGGTTGTCCCATTGCAACTCATACTCATGTATCCACCTACTCGACTAGGATTGTTCAATTACAACGACTCATACTCATGTGACGTGTTTGATATTATGATAAAACGGATTTTCGCACCTTGTCACGACTCTTAATGTTTGTATTCTATAGTGATAATTGTCAGTTTTCTCCCTCCAATAATGAGATTTTTGGATATGAAGGAAGGGATTACTTGAGCTACTTAGACATCAGCACCCTTTGGAAAACTCAGTAGATTAAGGGCATGTTTAGTTCACTGGAAAATGTTTTTCTTGAATTTTGAGGAAAACTTATTTTTCTTTTGTTTGGTTAATGAAAAATATTTTCGTCAAGAATGAATAAGACATTTTCCATGGCCACCCTTGGTATTTTGTTTTTTTTTGTTTTTTCACAGAAAACAAGTATTATAATTATGTCCTCACCAACTTTTCTTAATTGCCATTATTATTGTTGTTATTATTATTGTGTATATGTATAATTGTCTTTATACTCATTATTCCTTACAATTTCAAACTCAACCAAACAATAGAATCAATATTTCCAGTAATTTATTTTTCACTGACCAAACAATGTAATTAATATATTTGTTTTCCATAGAATTTGAATTCCATTTCCCTTCAAAATTTTCTATGAAACAAATTGGTCATAATTGTATGAGTTAATTACTGAAATGATCGATTGACTATAGTGAAATTACCGATTTAGTCATTAACTTTTTTTTTTTTTTTTTTTACCAATTAAGTCCGTCAACTTTAAAAATCTTAACCAATTTGGCCCTCCACCTGTTTTGCCCTTAGACATCCGTTAACTTGGGACCAAATTGGTAGTTTTGCTATAGTCTAAGGACCATTTCGGTCATCACATGCCCAATTTTTTTTGAAAAGTTAATTATTAAAATGGTCCATTGACTATAACAAAATTACCAATTTAGTATCGAGTTAATGAATGTCTAATAGCAAAACAAACAGATGACCAAATTGATTAAGATTTTTTAAAAAAAAATTGAGGGACTTAATTAGTCAAAAAAAATAATTAAGGACCAAATTGATAATTTCGCAAGTGAACATTTCGGTAATTAACTCTAAATTGTATTGAGTACATCAATATAATATGACAAAACAAGTTAATTTTGTTTTTTTATATATGTTATAAAGAAAGGGATACCCTATTCGAAGTTTGAACCCATCACCTTCCACTTAAAAAAACAAGTTAATACCAGTAGACTACAAGGCACTTGGTTAAAAAAAAAAAACCAGCTTATCACTCCAACTTAAAAAAAAAAACAAGTTAATTAAAGTATACATTTCACTCACATATTCACGTGTGTAGCCGTGTAGGCAGTAGGTAGCTGCCTAGCTGCACCCCATTTGACCATTTCAGTTCAAGGCAACTCTACTTCCTCAGCTTATCACTCCAACTCCGAGCCTCTACTTCAAGATTTGATGGCGGAGCAAGACGGCGTCGCCGCCGCAGCAAAGGCGGCGCAGCCCAAGAGCCGCCCGGTGGGCGGCACTGAGTATAGCTGGTGTAGAGCGGTGCCCGGTGGGACGGGCATAACGGTGTTGGCAATCCTCTTATCGAAACCCGTTGATATTCCACTTCTCGAAAATGCCCTCCTCAAGTTGCAAATTGCCCACCCAATCCTCAACTCCAAACTCCGCTACCACGCCGCCACCAATTCCTTCTCTTACCTCACTCCCCCCACTCCTCGCCTCCAAATCCAGCCGTTCGATCATTCCTCAACGGCCGAGATTCTCCTCCGCCGCGCCGCTCCCTCCTCCATCTCGGACTTCCACCTCATCCTCGAGCACGAATTAAATCGCAACACCTGGCACAATCCCGACCCTTCGTCCGACTCCGAAGCGGACACTTTCTTCGCCAGCGTGTACGACCTGAACGGCGGCAAGCGGGTACTGGCCCTCCGGCTGCACACGTCAGCCTGCGACCGCGCCACCGCCGCCGCATTGCTGACCGAGCTGCTGCACCCCCTGGTAGGCGGCGGCGGGCAGGAGGAAGGGACACAAAGGGAAATAGAAAGCGAAGGCGAGGTGGGTTTGGGAATAGAGGATTACATTCCAAACGGGAAAGCCAACAAGCCATTTTGGGCAAGGGGATTGGACATGCTGGGATATTCTTTGAATTCTTTTAGGTTATCCAATATAGCTTTCCACGACACGGAATCTCCTCGGGCGTCGCAGGTGGTGCGGCTGACGTTGGGCAAACACGACACTCGCCGGATTCTGGATGGGTGCGAAGCCAGAGGTATAAAATTGTTTGGGGTTTTGAGTGCGGCTGGGTTGATTGCAGCCCGGGCTTCTAAAGAGCTTCCAGATCATAAATACGAAAAGTATGCAGTTGTCACCCTCATGGACTGCCGTTCAATTCTTGATCCCGTGCTTAGCACCAACCATGCTGGTTAGTTTTATCCCCTCTATGCCTTATCTTCATTAATTCTTGCATCACAAAAGACCATAGTTGTTTGCTAAATAGCTATTATTGTTCCAAAAGGCTGAACCCCAACCCTAAGGGCCCCACATCCCGGTCCGACAGCTAAATAGCTATTATTAACTGATTGGTTAGTAGGTTTGATTAACGGGTAGTATTAGTTGATTGTAGAAAGATGTTAGGTAAATTAGGTGTTAGCTATTAGCTGTTAGTTGATTACATATCAAATGATTTTTTCAAAAAGTTTATCGAAAAAGTTGCTTTGAATAACTTTTTGAATTTTAATGTTTTGAAGCAATAAGATGTTACAAAAAATTAATTAATCAACCACTCATATTGATTATTTAACCATGTTAAACAACTAATAGTGGTCAAACAAGCAAAAATTAACTGATAGACTAATTATTTTACCAAGCATGGTCCAAATCTTTCGTCCTAGTTCTATTCTGTTGCTCGACAAAATTGTAAGAGACTAAACTCAATGACCCATTAGTTAAAAGGTTTAACGCGGGTGCTCATAAGAAACCCCTTCATAGTAAGGTGAAATTCTCACCCTAAAAATTAGGTAAACTCACTAGCTTCTTTAGGTAGGAAGTTTGGTGTTGGGGCCAATAAGAAGTCACTCCATAAGAAGGTAAAACTTTCATATTGTAATTGTCAGACCGAATCTTACATCTTACCGACACTCTGTCACATGCAAATCAAATGAGTGTTGATTAATTTTGTGAAGGAAAAATACTAATTCTACTCTTAAATTTTACCTTTAATTTTTATTCGCTCTCACACAAATTGATGTTAAATATTTTCATTAAGACCTATAGAGTGGAGATAATTAATAATAATCAATTGTCAATAATAATTAATTATCACATCAAGAAATAAAAGTGAAGTAGTAGAAATATAGAGTACACATAGTAAAGCTTTTTTTGTAAATGTGGTTGGCAGTCAAAGCATTATCCTTTTGTCCTGGATTAATCTGGTCCACAGTTTCCTGCTAACTCCAACTATTTGAATTAATTATTAGGCATCCCCCAACTAAAAAAAAAAAAAAAAAAAAAATTTCTGCATAAAAAAATAAATATTTTTAGCATATTTTTATACTTTTTTTTTTTAATTTATTTCCAACCCATTTACACTTTCTGCACCAAATTTTTTTCTTTCACTAAAATAATTTAAACTTTTACATTAATACTTTAATTATTTTAATATAAAATATAATTATAATGAAAATAATATTTTTATTCTAGAATAATATAGCATATAACATTAATTACATTTTTAATTAATTTATATTCAATATTAGTCTTATTTTTATCCCTTGATGAGATCTTTCAAAATGATATAATTTATTTTTAATAATATACAATTTATGTTTAAATATTTAACATATAACCCTAAATAAAAAGAATTAATTAAAAAGAAAAAGTGCAAAACAGAGAAATAAAATTCTCAAATTTTTGCCATTGCTGTAAAAATTTTGTCGCTTTGGCATCTTCATTGGAGGTTAACTGCGTCAAATTTTTTTGGCTGAAATACCATTGCCTTAAATTAGGTGGTTTGTGTTAGGTAGGCTTTATTGACCTTAATTAATCTATATATAATGATCAAGATCGAAAATGGTGGTACGGTGCAGGGTTTTATCATTCTGCTATCCTCAACACACATGACATCAAGGGAGGAGAAGACATATGGGAAGTGGCAAAAAGAAGCTACACATCCGTTGCAAATGCCAAGAACAATAACAAGCATTTCAGTGACATGGGTGATATGAACTTCCTGATGGGCAAGGCCATAGAAAACCCAGGCTTAACCCCTTATTCATCCATGAGGACTGCTTTTCTCTCTGTGTTTGAAGACCCTATCATCGCCATCACTCACCATCAACTTGGGCTGGAAGACTTCATTGGCTGCTCTTCTGTTCATGGAATCGGCCCCACCATCGCCATTTTTGACACCATTAGAGATGGGGAGTTGGACTGTGCTTGTGTGTACCCTTCTCCATTACACTCTAGGCACCAAATGCAGGGGTTGATTGATGACATCAAGAGGATTCTTCTTCAATCTTAGCATCCGATCGATCCAGCCATTATATTGTATCAATTACAATTACCCCTTTTAACAAATGATTATTTGGACGTACTATTTATTTTCATTCCTTCTCTTTCTAATGAAAAATATAATGTTGTTTTTACTCCCTAAAATTATATTTACTTTTATTTCTTGGAGTGACATATCGGATAAGATGTCACCAAAATAATTAACAATAATCTTTTCTAAAAGGCATATATATTGTTGAACAAAATCTAAAATTTTATATTTTATAGTTGTTGTAAATAAATATATGTGTACATTATTAGAGATATTCTAATAACTTAGTTGAGGATTGCTATGATTAACAAATTGTTATAATCCTACTTTGACTAATATAAGATTTTGGGGTGTTGGATTTATCCTTAATATGACTAGTGCAATATTGTAATGCTTCATAAGTGAAACTTTGTAAGTGGTACATTACAAAAAGGAAAGTAATATGTAAATGACTCTATCAGTTTTCTAGACTAGTCATCTTGTATTCTAGTAGTGACACATACATGACAAATATCATACTAAGTAGTGCGAGTCTCATTGCCTCCGAGGCTAGTCACTGTGTACTCTAGTAGTTGTACACGACAAAATTATACTAAGTATTTTGAGTGTTATTGAGTTATGAAAGAAATATCAAGGACTAAATATTGGTGGGAATATATACTCCCTAACTTCTAAACCTTCCCTATTGAATATTAATGTGTTTGGTCATTGAGTTGGTTTTTTAATATGGGATGGATTCTCTCAAACGGGGATTAATCTTTAGGTGATTAATGACTCATGAGTCATGTCTTATAAATGAAGTCTTCAACTTTATTTTATAGTTAGTGCTATGTTACTCTATCAAAAATATTTTATGCTCATGTCGTGACGCGATGTAAGATATAGTTGTTAGTATGTAATTAATATGAAAATATTAATTAAGTTCTTTTTGTTGGCATATGTTGGTCCACTGTAAATGTTAGTCAAATATATTTTAGTTAGAGTAAAAATAGGTTGTAAAATCTTGGAGCCTAATTTGGAGAGATTAAGAAGGAATCCTAGATGTGGTGGCAAAAGATGCAAATCTCTCTCGATAAATATGTGGCTGAAAATAAATCCATAAAAACTTCCTCAACTTCACTACATAAATCATGCGGGGAGTTGTGATCCAATAAGCCTAATTTTGTGTTGTCTAAAGTCTATGAATAGCGGCTGTGTAATGAAGAAAATTGAAGTTTTATAAGAAATTCAGACATTTTAATCACAAAATTCGTGAAGAAACTTTAAACTAGGGGTGAGTACGGGTTGGGTTTGGGTTTGGGTTCGACCCAAGGGTAATTGGATCACTCAAAATATTTCGAGTTTAAATCTATACTATATATAAAAATAAAATCCTAAATTTTAACTTCCCGCCCAATTTCTAAAAAATCTCTTTTCCCAATAAAATATATTGATTTTTTTCCAATAAAATATATTGATTTCTACTTTCCCATTCGTACAATAATTCTGGGTAAAAATTATATTCTAAAATTATAAAATAGTGTAATACATTCCCTTTGCACATCTATACTCTATACTATATATAAAAACAAAATCCTGAAATTTTAACTTCCCGCCCAATTCCTAAAAAATCTCTCTTCTCAATAAAATATATTGATTTCTACTTTCCCATTCGTACAAGAATTCTAGGTAAAGTTGTGAAGTGTCAAAAGTTCGGCAAGGCATAACTTTTGACTCGGTTGTCCGTTTTGGACAAATGTTATTTTGAAATTGCGTATTTTTTCGAGATCTATCCACCGCAAACTGCCGTAGGCGGTTTGGCCCACCAATTTTTTTTTTAAAAAAAATGCTTTATTAAATAGTTTCTAAGAAAAAACTATGAGAACCTTATGTTTTATTAATGAATTTTTAAATTTTTTAATTAAAAAATTGTCCCGTGCATTATTTAATAATCTCTCTTTATAATTAGTCAAATTATTTAATTATGGTAAATTAAGGAATAATTAATGATGGTAATAGAAATCCTAGAAGAATATAGAATTGAAGAATATTTAATTATTATTATATTATTATTGTGACTCACGGAATACAATACAAGAATATTTAATTATGGTTATATTATTATTGTGTGCCTCACGGTCATTATATACTAACAAAACTTGAAAAGAAACTAATAATAATAATAATAATAATAATAATAATAATAATAATAATAATAATAAGTGGTAAAAATAATATCTAAAAGTAATTAAGTGTTAATAATAATAGTAAGAATATTAACGTAAGAATTATAACATAAATAAATCTTAATAATTAATAACTATAACCAAGTGGCTTGTGGTCCACTGGTATTGGATTGCTCCCCTATGTAGGAGGTCTAGGCTTCGAGTCTTGTTGTAGGCATAGTTTGTATGGGTATCCCCCTTCCTTTGTAATAAAAAAAAAAAAATAACTATAGTCTAGGATTAAATTTGAAATTGTGAGGAAAGATAAGCGACCCCTGGTGAAATTAACTCTTAAATAATTATATATTGATTTAAATATTCTTAATATATTATAACAATTCTATTTCGTGCATCGCACGACTGAAAATACCAATTTTCTAAGTCCGAAAATCGAACCGAAATATAAAAAACATGCATCGGAATCGGGTGTTTCGGATCGGATTTAATTCGGGTCCGAGTTACTATACTCGAAAAATCTAATAGGCCCAAAAATAAACTTTTTAATTTGTTATGTCATTTATAGTTCTCCAATTCTTTGAAGTTAATAAATAATGTAATAATGTTTTTTATAAAATAATTTATATATTGCCAAAATTAATTGAGTTATGATTATCCAACATTTAAAAGTTTATTTATTATGTTGCATTTACTCCGCATCATTTATGTTGATTTTTGCCAGAGTAAATACCAGTGACGTCTTCTGACTTTGGTGGCACTGTCACTTTTAGTTCTCAACTTTTAAATCAACTATTCCTAGTCCTTTTACTTTTAATTTCTAACCATCTACAATCCTTCGGTTAGAATTGCTCCCTCAAGCCGTTTTTCCGAAGGACAATTTTGTCCATTCACATCTAATCACTTAAATAATCCATTTTTCAACCCCCCCTTTTTTTTTTTTTTTTTTTTTTTTTTTTTACAGTCGCTGCCCTCGAAATGACGCCTCGCCATCTTCTTCTTCCTGCTTGAGCTTGCAATCCTTATCAGTGGATTCAGTCCAAGAAAACTCGACGAAACCATTCAAAACAAGTGTGTCGAATGCGAGCATCCTCCTCAGCTGATTCCTTAGACAATTATCAAATATTATCATCGTCAACCCATTTTGTTGCAGAATAAACTTACCGACGACCAATGAGATCATATCTTCTCTAGCTTCTCCACCTTGACCAAAGGGTTGGCCTTGGCAATGGCTTCTCTGCCCGGCCTTAAAATCGAATGAACATCCATGAATGTCGGGGTATTGGTGGCACCACAGAAGGTGACCCCGCACCAGCACCAAAATCCAGTCAACCCAACCTTCTTCGGGCAATCCGAGAGCCGGTTCGTTGCCTTCAAATTCTCTAGCGGTATAGACACTGACGGCACAGCGAATATGGAATTCACTGGAGTCTTGGGTTTCCATTGGGCACCCTTGAGGCAGATCGTGTACCGGTAGTATTTGGAGCAGTAATTCTGCGTCGCCGGTCTTCAGAAAAAGCTGCAATTGTTGGCGCACAGACGGTGGCTTTCGGGCAATTGGTAGTTGTGCTCCTCCGCCATGCTCAGACCTTGAGAAATTCATAGGTTTTCCAAAACTAAAATCCATAGAGGAGACGACAGTGATGGATGGAGTTTGAAAACATTCTATTTGGATGGTTGGATCAGATTATGGGGGTCGGGAATGGGTTTCTTCGAGATGTTGATGAGGACAAAGTCAAAAAATAAATTAAATAATCTCAACAATTGTGAAAGGACAATTCTATCGTTAACATAATGGGATCAACTGGCCTAAACTAACGGAAGGACTACAGATGGCTAAAAATTAAAAATAAAAGGATTAAGAGTGATAGATTTAAAAATTGAGGACTAAAAGTGGCGGTGTCACCAAAATCGGAAAACCTCTGCTGGTATTTACTCATTTTTGCCAATTACTCGATTACTTTTTAAAAAAGTACATAGCCACTGAGCCAGGCTTTAACATTGGGGGCAACAAAATAAAAAAAAAAGATTCTATTTTTTAGGCCTTCTATTGTTTATTGCAGTTTTTGATACCACCAATGCACCAACACCGATAAGTCCATTCATTGTGTTCCCAAACCGATTAGTCCATTCATTGTGTTCCCAAACCAATTAGTCCATTCATGCATTATCAATGCTAATGGGAATGCAAAGGAACCATCAAGAAGACAAAAACAATGCAACCTGCAGATTAAAAAATATATATGAGAAAAATAAATTAAATTTTAGTTTAATTTACACATTACTTTTTTTTATTATTAGGAAGGGGGAAACCCAAAGAAAGCAAAACGAGTTACTATACATTATACATGTAGTGCCATGACGGAAAACCAACAATGGCATCCTCAAGAAAACTCAAAATTTTGGTTAAGCTTGTGTTTTGTATTAAGGGTGGCTAGGGTTCGAATCTCACCTAGCTTAATAGTTTTAATTAGTAGTTTTAATATTTGAGCTTGGTTATTAGTTTTAATGCCTTGATTATGTTACTAAGTTGTGCTTAGCCTAGATGGTTGAGCTTGTGGGTAATTTAGGGAAGGGTTAGAGTTTAAATCCCCTTATGTGATTCACAGGTTTCCCGTTTGGCTTATGAGTTGAGCCTAGCCTAAGTTGGCGTTGTTTTTGGTTGGATAAGCGAATAAGGTAACCCATGCTCTACAAAATATATTTTGCTTACCTATGTGAATATTTCTTGGATTTTACATGTGTTTTGCTATGAAATGTGAGTGTTTATGCATTGTCTTGTGAAAATGCATATCTAGAGCTTGTGTTTAGGATTCTTGTATGCCATTGCTTGGCTATTCCTTTGATTCAAGTCATTTTGTTGTATTTGGTGAGTTTTGGCATGTTTTGGACTTGAATTTGAGCTTGGAGTTGAAAATCCGCAAAGGGATTTATTGTGGTACAG